TCTTACCTTGTGCTCGGTTACATCAGGGCAATGAGCAAAGATGCTGCTCTCAGGGAGCCCGCAGGTCTTAGCCTTCACTGCAGTGATCTAAGATAGGTGTCAGCATTCTCTTTGCATATCAGAAACGACAGGCTTAAAAGTATTTAACTACATTTCCCAAGCTCACACAGATACTACATTAAGGATTTGAATTCATGTTCTTGTCAGCTTGTATCCAAAACACATTCATATGCTATATCACACCAGATTTGCATGATCTCAGCATTTGGTATTCCAACAGCATTCGTATCTAGAAACCATCTGCAAATGCAGAAGATTTAAGAGATGTGGGTTCGATCCCTGGGTCAGGAAGAACCCCTGGAAGAGGGCACAGTAATGCATTCTTGTATTCTTGATTGGAGAATCCCCATGGACAGGGGACCCTGACGGGCTGCAGTCCTACAACCCATGGGTTGCAGAGTTGAACACGACTGAGCATGCATACGCACACACGCACACACACACACACATACACACACACATTTGTTAAGCCTCTCTGAGAAGTGCTTCTGGAATTGGAATTTCTCTTGTGCCTACATGGTATTTAGGAAACATGTCTCAGTTCTCTGAGTGTTGATGACAATCAACTTGCATTTGATGGAGAGTTTCTGAGTCTGGTGTTGAAGATATAACATTTTAAAAGAAAAAATTCTCCTTTCTTTAGATTTTAACAGACCTAAGAAGCTGTCATTCTCAGTGAGAAACAGATGACGAGAACAGTATCAGTAAACAGAACAGTGGTTTAATGGGAAATTTTATTACCTTGTGTGGCTATCAATATCTACATAAGAGCCCTTCCTCACAGCCTGCAAGTCCCTCCATGATACTCGACATAAGCATTATCAAATTTTGTAGCTTTGAGATGGGATAAATAAAAATGACCTAGAATAGGTTCCATCCAACTAGATGGACTTTTATAGAGAACTATGAATTTTTTCTAATAGAATCTATGTATTTCCTGGCACATGCCATATGATTGATTGTGCCTTTCCAACCTTTTTAGGTAGTTTTCCTGTCTCTGTGTGTTTTAGTAACTATGCGGTCTTGCTTTGTCATTTAAAGGTCAACATATTCAATATGTATCCAATTTGTGTTCATTTACTTAAGCTCCATAAATACCCCTTTGTTCATTTGCACATGAGCCATATTTCTCTTAGGAAGGACTTCTGTTCTAAAAAAAAATAAACTTACTGGCTGCTACACAGAAACTTATAATAAATTTTTGTTACATTGGTTGACTGACCTATGCTACACTATTATTGTTACTATGGGTGAGATTTCCAAGGTCATGATTGAGACCCCCATATATGCCCAGGGGGATGCACAATCATGGAGGAAATATATACCTTTCAAGAAAAGAATGAGAAACAAGTGAGAGAGCATCATTAGGATGTCATTTGAAAAATGATGGAAGATGACATAGTGTGACAGAATGGCACTGACAAGAAATAGAAAACACACATGGGGTCCAATTCTCATGTAACTCTAGAGAGAAAGAGCTATGATAGATTAAAACAGCATGAAAATGTGACCCACAGTACATGAAACACATCGAATAAAATAAAAAACTTCAATTGCAGGTTGCATGTAATCATTTATCTATTTATATATATACACACATATACATGTATAGATATACATGTATATTTAACACACAAATATTTGGGGAGATGAGGGAAAACATCTTGCTGTAGTAGAGTATAGGGTGTTTGAACTCAGAAAATTCTAGGTTCAAAAATTACTAGTATTAACTATGACTTTGGGAAAGATACCTAATTATTACAGTCTAAGTTACTCCCTTTAGAAAGCAGGGGGATTATTGTATTTATTAGAATTAACACTACGACAGAGAAATTAAGGATGAAAGATACTGAGCATAGTGGGTAATGCTTTTAAAAAGCTAGTTCCCTGTCTTGTTTTGCAAAGAGCACTATGGGGTCTGAGTTTTGGAGAGAAGGGCAAAGGAAAACAAATAGATGTTCTGCCCTGAATCTGTGCACATTCGAAAGTCAAAGTAAGACGCGTGTGTGACTGTGTCTGTGAGTGTGTGCTGGTGAAGAGTCACAGGTGCTGCAAAGAGGTGGAGACAGAGGACCATGGAGTTTGCAAGAAGGAAGGAATCAGAAGTTAAAAGAAAAACTATAATTTGGTTCTGAGTTATTAACTTTCAAGTTCTGAGAGCCCTCCTAAGGCCGGCCTCATTCAGGGCAATTGTTTCTACATTTCAGTCTAATGAAGTCATGCTTTACCCTGAGCACAGCTGAGAGGTGCCTTCCTCGCTGTTTCCACCTTTCCCCCAGCCAGATGCTCTTTTTCTCACACTGGGATTGTCCAATGTTTCTACCTTGCTTGTCTGCCTAAAACTCAAGCTTGACTCCTTCCATCCACTCTGCGTATATGGCTAGAGATCTGATGTGACACCCTTGCCTAATAATAATAATGGCAATTAAGAAGGACCTGGAAGGGAAAAGATAGAACAGAGAATTTTTTTTAAAGTCTGTAAATAAGTCCTTGCACAAGTATGATGGTACACTCGATTGAATTAGGAATCTCAGTGAGTTATATGACCTGGTTGCAGTAATTGCATTAAGCAACCGTATTATTTCAATAATAAAATAAACCCATTGAAACAGAGTATTTTCTAAGGTAATTATTTAACTAATTCAAAAGTGGCAGGAGGATAGATGTTCCAATCTTTGCATTTTATTATCTCCTTACTGTATTCAGCCCAAAAAATAGTCTTTGGCAATTGAATGGAGAAGTCTCACTTGTTTTCACAAAGTTTTAACCTCCCCGTCCTTATTTCATTTGTACACAAAGATGTCATTCTGAAGGGTTCCTATCTAAATTCCTTCTTCAGGTTGGTCTGATCTGACTACCTGCTGTATCTCCCAGAGCAGGGGTGCACAGCTGCTCCCGTCTCCCGCTGACCCCATACCATTTGCAGGATGTCTGTGAAGCAAGTGAGGCAGGGGCTGCATCGTGTGCTGGTTGCTGGGTCTGCGGCAGGAAGCCCAGTGCTCGGCCCACCATGCCTGCTCAGACTGTCCACGCCATAGAGACGGGAGTAGGGGACAGGATGCAGCTTCTCTCTGCATTCTGCAGTTCCGGACAATGTGGTCCACAGAGGTTATGAATTAACCCGGTTCTCTCAGCAAGTGCTAGCTTTAAACAGGTCCAACAAGTGACTCAGGGAAACCCTGACTGTCAGCATCCTTGGACATGTGCCAGCAAGTGCTAGTTCGCTGGTAGCTCAGCTGGTAAAGAATCCGCCTGCAATGCAGGCAACCCCAGTTCGATTCCTGAGTTGAGAAAATCCCCTGGAGAAGGGATAGGCTACCCACTCCAGTATTCTTGGGCTTCCCCGGTGGCTCAGCTGGTAAACAATCCGCATGCAATACGGGAGATCTGGGTTCAATCCCTGGGTTGGGAAGATATCCTGGAGAAGGGAAAGGCTACCCACTCCAGTATCCTGGCCTGGAGAATTCCATGGACTGCATAGTCCATGGGGTCGCAAAGAGTCAGACACAACTGAGAGACTTTCACTTCACTTCCATAAGTGACTCAGTGAAACCCTGACTTGCCACATCCTTAGACATGTTGATTAGCCTGCCTAGAGTTCAATTTTTCCTTGATTCTAGATGATGATTGAGAGTATGAACGCCAGTCCATGCTGATTGTGTCCAAAACCCATTTGCTAGTTGTGTGATCCTGACCTAGTCATTTTACCATTCTGTTTTTCATTTGTAAGCTGTGAATAGGAGAAGTATCTACTTATAGGATCACTGAGAGAATAAAATGAGCTAATATGATACAAAATACTACTATTCTACCATATAATCGAGGCATTAGCTAAGTCCTTATTGTTGCTGTTATTCACATTACTGTTTATATTTTTGTTACTATTTAAATGAGATATTAGACTATTGTTGTTGTTTAGTCATCCAGTCATGTCTGACTGCAGCCCCACGGATGGCAGCACACCAGGCCTCTCTGTCCTTCCCATCTCCCGAAGTTTGCCCAAGTTCATGTCCATTGTATCAGTGATGCCATCCAGCCATCTCATCCTCTGATGCTCTCCTCTCTCTCTGCCCTCAGTATTTCCCAGCATCAGGGGCTTTTCCAAGGAGTCAGCTGTTCGCATCAGATGACCAAAATATTGGAGATTCAACTTCACTCTATTACACTATACCACATACTGTATGATAAGATGAGATAGTAAAAGTAAAATGCACAGCACAGTACCTGGTACAGAGTAAGCAAATAATAGCTGACTTTATTTTTAGTAATAGCACCTGTACTAGAGGAGCTTCCCTATTAGCTCAGACAGTAGATAAAGCACCCGCCTGCAATGTAGGAGCCCTGGGCTCAATCCCTGGGTCGGGAAGATCCCCTGGAGAAGGAAATGGCAACCCACTCCAGAATCCTTGCCAGGAAAATCTCATGGACAGAGGAGCCTGGCAGACTACAGTCCTCGGGGTCACAAAAAGTCGCACACGACTGAGCGACTAACGCGCACACACACGGATACTCGCAGCAGCAGCATTATCATTTAGCCTTATTATTTCTTGATCACAATTGATCACCAATAGTATGGCAAAAAAAAAAATTATAGAAATATTAATAGTTGACACTGACTGCCCACTCACTCACTTTCCATGTGTTAAATTCCCAGAGAGACAAAAGGAGAAGCAGTTAGGATAAGGGGCCCTGTAGCCCCATTACTGGGGTCTGTATCCCATGTATGCCCCTTGCTCACTAAGCGGCTTTGGATGAACCCTTCTGTGCCTATCTTTGGATGGGTATTGATGGACTATCTCAAAGTTTTGCTCTGATAAGGTAGTATTATTCTTTTAGTCTTGTAACAACCTTAAGTACCTTATGCTAATATTATGCCCATTATAGAGCCATGTTAAGTTGAAATATGAGATACCCATGTAGCTCAGTAGTAAATAATATACCTGTCAATGCGGGAGACAAAAAAGATGAAGGTTCAATACCTGGGTCTGGAAGATTCCCTGGAAAAGAAAAGCACAACTCACTCCATGGGGTCACAGAGAGACAGACACAGCTGAGCATGCACACACGCCAAGCTGAAACATGGAGGTTGAATTAATTTCCCAAACTTAAACAGCAATTCAGTGTCAGGTCTAGACTTTGATCCAAGTCACTCTGATTCTAGAGCCTGTGTTCTTGTCAATATATGATAGAGCCCCACCCCTCAAGAGACAGGTGGGGTTTCAGATGCACTGGGGAGATCATTCCTGCCATGCTGCCCCTCAACATATGCTGTTGTTGCCCTGTGTACCCCAACTTTTCCTGAGTTGAACCTGTAGTAATAGCTCTCTTATAATACTGGCTTCACACAGTAGCTTTATTATAGGCAATTTCTTTGTAAATATTCCCAGAAAATTATGAAATAACATTTTTTTTCAGAAATAGGTAGTGATTTCTTTTTAAATCTTGATTATTTAGCCCTTAATTTCTACTGATTAAAACATTGAGTGGGGCTTCCCTGGTGGCTCAGATGGTTAACAATATGCCTGCAATGCAGGAGACCTGGGTTCAATATCTAGGCTGGGAAGATCCCTTGGAGGGGGAAATGGCAGCCCACTCCAGTATTCTTACCTGGAGAATCTCATGGACAGAGGAACCTGGCAGGCGATGATGTAGCAGTCGGACACAAATGAGCAACTAACTTTCACTTTCACACATTGAGAATGCCCTCACCTTCATTAGTATTTCCCTCTTTCCTCCCCTGAGAAGGAAATGGCAACCCACTCCAGTATTCTTGCCTAGAGAATCCTGCGGACAGAGGAGCCTGGTGGGCTGCCGTCTATGGGGTCGCAGAGTCTGACATGACTGAAGCAGCTGAGCAGCAGAAACAACTTTCCCCGTACTATCATCCAACGCAAGGTAATCATTGTCATATTTCTTGTCCATTCACCGAATTGGATTTTTATTGCATATCAGACACCACTATACAAGCTGGAGGTACAAAGATATGAGCCAGATACAGTCTCGGTCCCTTGAGGAGATACCATCTAGTCTGTGGGGTCTTCCTAGCTCTGGCTTACCGGCCTACTGTTCATAATGTCAGAATTACACAGGACATGCCTTTCCATTAGCAGTTTGATGCTACTAAAATTCTTGGGATCTCAGTGCAGTGTGCCTGGGAAACACAAATTCCTACTGCTTTTCTCAGGATCAGGCACCTACCAACTTCCTCATTCCCAAAGCTGATAGTCAGTTCACATGTCTGTTTTCCTTCCTCAAGTCTGATAGTCAGTTCACATGCCTGTTTTCCTTCCTCAAGTCTAACTTCTACTCCATGTTCCAGTGGGATACAAAGTTGGTTTTAAACCACAATTTCACTGCTTGAAATCTGGATTCTCCTTTTGTAGGTTTCAGAAGTCTCTCATATCTAAAGGTCTGCCAAGACTACTAGTAATATGTTTCATCCTGGTGAATAATTTTCTACACTAGATCCTGATTCCCATTGACAAGCTTCACTGTCTGCAAGCCTTTGACATGGAATTCATCTTTATTATCTGCTCCTCTCAAACTAATGCCTTTGGCCTGAGTGGGATATGATTATCCTACCCTTCTGAACCAGATAATTTTATTGTAGGGCTCTGTGTTATGAGGATTCATCATTAGAACTGTTTAATTTCTTACTGATTTTACTATTATCAAGACTTAGATCCCCTCCACATTTCCTAACTTAGCTCTGAGAATACATTATATCAGAAAAAGCACATTAATAAACAATGATATTAGAAAACCTTTGAAGGATAAAGGAGATTTCACTTCAGACATCCCACTGAGAAAGTCACAGGAACTCAGATCAGGAATTCTTTACACAGATGTCACGCATCCTTTTCATTATTCCCATTTTCTTTATATTTTCATCTTTTCTCCCAAATCATTGACATCTTCCATTGATGACAGATCCTAGTTTGTGTGAAAAAAGGAAAAAGAATATACCACGCTTTCCTCTGGGTTGTGTAAATACATGTAAATAGCAGTTTTTCTGAGTGTGGCTAGGTAGCCCCTCTTCCCTGCTGGCATCATGCAGACAGGCTTCTTTCCAATGGTCATAAACAAAACACCAACAGATGCGAGGAACAAGTGAATATCAAGGAGGCAGTCACCATAGCAACAATAACCATGGAAAGTCCTATAAACACCCACCCCTGCACCAGCATCTACTCAAAAATTCAGAGCATTTGGCTCACACACGTACAGAGGGGGGGAAAAAAGGGCAAGAGAACCTTAATGTAGTGAGTAGAAATGAGCTGAAAGTTGAAAAATTGGAACTCTCGTCACAAGTTTCAATTCTCTACCCATGCCCAGGGCTTAGATCAAGGCAGAATTATGAAGGGAAATATTTTCCGTACTCTCCTTTTGCTTCCAGTATACAGAGTGCAGTCCTTAGTCTGATATTTGAAGGTATCTGCAGCCTACATTTTTTTTTTTGATTATTTGTTACTTGTCTAGCTGACACAGCTGTTCAAAACAGTGTAACTCATTCTCCCCTGGATATAATACATGTATTTCTAATGCTCTCACACTGCACAGGTTATTCCCCTTTTGTGAAAGTCTAGTTCTTCTGAAATTTCCCCATAAAAATCCCGGACAGCTGGTCCTAAGTCTTTAAAGTTCGATTTCATCCACGAAGTTTTCTCTAGTCACCAGAGTTCACAGATATTTCTTGGAATATGAAGACAAAGTCCTTGAGTTCATTTCTCAGTTTGGTAAATTAAAGCTGGGGGTGACATTGAACTTAACTTCATACATGTCAACTTTTGTAAATAAGATAGCTTTTTTCAAAAAAATCAAAAGAGATAATGTAGGTAAGTTAAATGACACAGAGTAGCAAGTATGATTTACATGATCATTTGACACTAATTTTATTTCCCCCTTTCTCTAATTTGCTATCTCCATACCATCCTTATGGAAGCAAATCAATTGGCATGTTGCAAAATCACTGGGAAAGATCCTGATGCTGGGAAAAACCGAAAGCAGGAGGAGAAGGGGACAACAGAGGATGAGATGGTTGGATAGCATCACTGACTCGATGGACAGGAGTTTGATCAAGCTCCAGGAGTTGCTAATGGACAGGGAAGCCTGGTGTGCTGCAGTCCATGGGGTCACAAAGAGTCAGACACAACTGAGCGACTGAACTGAACTGAAAATCTCAATAAATAATAAATGTATAAAGAAGTAAAGAAGTTAGAAATAGGATACTAAATGGAACAATATAGAATGTAGATTTGGAGGAATTCACACATGTGCTTTTTGTCCCCATCATAAATCAACATAAATTTTAATCTTCTTTCACTCAAGCTGTGCTTTCCCATGATTAAAGACTAAGTTGAGATAATTCAGACAACCAATGAGTCAGTTCATCAAAAAAATCCATGAGACTTTTTTTCAGGATTGTTAAAACTCTAAGAAAATGTAATCACAAATAAGCACTGTCTAAGTGAATTTAAGAGATGAAGTAAATCTTTTTGGGGCCGGTGTCTACTCATTCCTCAAAAGTCTCTTAGCTGGCACATCGTCTCAGAAACCTCTGGCCCCTTCCCAGACACCACGGGCAACCTCTTTGACCCTTCCATTGCATCTCTGCTGACAATACAATATTATTCCTTATATTCATAAAATACTGTCTCCACTTGTTGTCCTGTGTCTTCTCCATGACTCTGTTATCCAGTGTCTCTTTCATCAGTGTCCAGAGTACAATATAGTGTCATACACAATGTCATCATTTGTTGCATTACTGAATCAGTATATGGTTGAATGAATGAATCAATGAACTAATAACAGAATGAATCAGTTGAATAAATGAATGTCACATATATACAAGCATCTAGATAATAATCTCCCTAAATTATTCAGAAAAACAATTACTTGAGTTTTTGAAGAATCTTTTTTATTTTTCAATTTATTTAAATTTTTTATCAAAATAGATTTAACATACAATATTACATTAGTTTCATGTGTACTACATAATAATTCGACAATTGCATACATAATGATCACCATGATAAGTCTAATAGCCATCTGTCCCCATAAAACATTATTAAAATATTATTGACTATATTCCTTGTGTTGTATATTACACCTCCATGATGAATATATCATGTGACTCAATGTTTATACCTCCTAATCCTTTATACCTATTTCGTCTATCATCTGTACACCCCTCCATCTGGCAACTGCCTGTTTACTCTCTGTGCCTCAGTCTGTTTTCATTTGTTTTGCTTTTTATTCCAAACATAACTGAAATCATGTAGTGCTTGTCTTTGTCTGACTTATTTAACTTGGTACAACACCTTATAGACATACCCATGTTATCATAAATGGTAAGAGCTCATTTTTAATGGCTAAGTAATATTTCACTGTATATACAAAGCATATCTTTACCCATCTAACCATTAATGTGCAGTTGGGTTGCATCCATATGTTAGCTAATAAAATGATGCCACACTGGAGTGCATATATCTTTTGGAACTAGTATTTTTGTTTTGTTTTGTTTTCTTCAGGTAAACACCCAGAAGTAAATCTCTCCCTTCATGTTTGCTAATTTTTCTCACATATATAGGTGTCCCTATGTTTATGTATATATTTATAATTGTTGTATCTTCTTACTGGATTGATCTCTTTATTGTTATGCAATGTCCTTTTTTATTTCTTATAAACAGTTTCTGTTTCAGACTCTATTTTGTCTAAATATTGCTAACTCAGGTTTGTTTTTATTTCCATTTGCACAGAATACTTTTTTCCATCACCTAAGTTTCAGTCTGTTTGTGTCTTTAGATCTGATCTGAGTCTCTGTAGGCACCATGTATATGGGTCTTGGTTGTTTTCTTTTTGTTGTTGCTTTGTTTGCTTTTTCACTAAGTCACTCTATGTCTTTTCATTGGAGCACTGAGTCCATTTACATTTCAAGTAATTATTGAGAGGCTGGTACTTATTGCATTTTGCAATTGTTTTCTGACTGTTTTGTAGTTCTTTTATGTTACTTTCTTCTTCCTTTACTCTCCTTCCTTGTTATTTGATAATTCTTTTTATTGTTATATATGTTTGGAGATCTTTGTATTTGCGTGCATCCATTACAGGCTTTTGGTTTGCAAGTACCATGAAGTTCATATATAAATATGTGTGTATGTAATTTTGAGTTGATATCTCTTTTTTGGATCACCTAAATTTGAAAATGTAATTCATGATTAATGATAATATCTTAAATTTGAAAACATTCTAACAATCATATATTTATACTCCCTGGTTCAAAAACGTTAACATTTTTGACATCATATTTTATGTATTTTTGCTTTATATTTTGTGTGTCCCTTAACTACTTATTGTGAAAATAAATGACTTTATTTACTTATTTATTTTTTGCCAGTCTTCAGGTTATACTCATAGATAATAAGTGCTCTGTAAAAAGTGCTTTTTTTGATAACAATTTTGATGTGCCCATAGGACAAAATGAGCCGTGGGTCTTTCTGCTCTGCCATCTTGGACATGCTGTGCTGTTCTGGGCTTAGTCACGCAGTCATGTCCAACTCTTTGCAATTCCATCTTCTCTGTCCATGGGGATTCTTGAGGCAAGAATACTGGAGTGGGTTGCCATGCCCCCCTCCAGGGAATCTTCCTAACCCAGGGATTGAACCCAGGTCTCCTGCACTGCAGGTATGTTCTTTACCATTTGAGTCACCAAGGAAGCCTAAGAATACTGGAGTGAGGAGCCTATCCCTTCTCCAGGGGAACTTCCCAACCCAGGGTCTTCTGCATTGCAGGTGGATTCTTTACCAGTTGAGCTGTCCAGAAAGCCCATCCTGGACATGCTGCCCAGAATAATCTCAACTGTATGATGGCATATGTTACTTCATTATCTCATGTACATTTGCAAATTTTATTTAATTTACAAAAAAAAAGACTCAATGACATATGCATTATCGTGTTTTACAGCTACAATAACCAAGTCATGTATGTCTTTGCAGATTATTTAGCTAAGTGGTTCTCAATCTAGGTCCGTCAAACTTCATAATGTGGCTTTTGGCATATATCAAGCAAATCTAGGTAAAATTTTCATCATAAGGCTACAGAAGCTACTAGTTAAAGCAGTTTGATTGGCACATAGGAGCTTCAGAACACTGACTCTGAAACACATAGAAACAAATATATAATCGTACAATTTTTAAATGAGGAAAAGACTAGGAACTAACCTAAGTTATAACTACCCTTGGGGAAGAGAAATTCAGATGCAAAGAGGAAAAATTATTTTGTATGAGTGGCAGAATCAGGAGAGTAGGTTTATTCTGTAATCTAGGGCTCACTGTCCTGTCAACTAATCTACGAAGGGATTTGCATCACGATTTTGTTGCAGCCGTACAATTTCCTCATTATTTATTTTCTTTGGCAAGTGTAGCTGCAGCCAGAGATCACAGCAGGAGTTGTGGTATGTTCTCCTTGCGTGCTACGGATTGTTTTTGGCTAATTTACGAGTAATTCATACAGCACTTTGGACTTCTGAAGAAGTTAGCTGAGCTTGGGGCAAAGCTTGAAGATGACAAGTTTAATGCTGTTTTTAAAATGATATAATTCCCAAGATGACCTAGTGATTTAATTAACTCATATTTAAAAATATGGAGGTAGGAGTTGGAAGCAGAGATGTCCACTTATTTTTAATTAGATTTCTGAAAGTTATGGGCCTCGATCACTGAATGGGCTGTTATCTGTAACTCACGGTCTTAAATAAGGGGCTTTTAGTATCTAATTTTATATTATTAGAAGAAAGCTTGAAAATTTTTCTACAGCAGTAATTGCATAAATATATATTTTATCTGGCATTAAAAAGACATTATTGATGCAGAACTCCCTATTAAGGAGAAAGGACTACTTTTAGATGAAAATAAGTTCAAAGGTAC